CTTATAATCTTAGCATTTCCATTACAGTAGATAGTAATTTTAAACATTTTGTAAAAACCATTGTTAAAAATGGTCAGAGTAATTCATTTGATTTTTCAAAAAAGTCATTGACTTTTATATAAATAGTTGGCTACGAACCCTGTTGGAGAAACATTGTTTTAATATGAATATTTTTGTTTTACACTGCAATCTGCATCTCAAACATTAACAAGAATTGTTTTGTGTCAGTCCCAGAAATTGAATGCACATCTGCAAATTTCATAGTTCATAAAAATATTATGAATCCATTAGCAAGTGTATATTTTTATTTATAAATACAAAGGAAAAGTATACATAAATATATTAACGAAAAAAAAAAAAAAAAAAATTATAATAAAATTAATACTTTAAACAAATATTTAAATTATGGCAGTAACACTTGTAGAAATTAAAAAAATGATAAAAGATTTGTTTTCAAAATACAAAGTAGAAACGGAAGCTGCGCTAAAGCAACAAGAAAACAATTTTATAAATATAGTTAGTGCAAACACTAAAATATTAAACGATAGATTGGACAAAGTAGAAAAAAGTATTTAGGAAAATGCTAAAAAAATATCCACACTTGCAACAGAAGTTGAAGAAATAAAAGTAAGTTTAAATTTTTATGAGAAACTCATTGAAAACAAAAGTAAAACCGCGTTAGATATTTTCATGAAAAGTAAATGTACTCCTAACGAAATTCAAAATAACAACACTGAGCTCAAAAAGATAAATAGTAAGCTAAGAGAAATAGAAGATGGATCAAGAAGGAATAATTTAAGGGTTGACGGAGTTAAAGAAGATGATAATGAAAGCTGGTTGGAAAGCGAGTTAAAAGTAAAAACAATATTTGACAAATACTTGGGTATAAAAAATGTAAAAATTGAAAGAGCGCATAGAGCTGGTAAGGTAGGTATAAAAGAGCACAGAATAATTGTTCTGAAATTATTGGACTTTAAAGATAAGGAGGCAATTTTAAAAAACTCTTCAAAGTTAAAAGGAAAGAACATTTTTATAAACGAAGATTTTTGCACGGAGACGAATCGAATTAGAAAGGATTTACGAGAGAAAATGAAAATTGAAAGACAATCGGGAAACTTTGCGTATATTTCCTACGACAAGCTTATTGTACGCGAGTGGAATGCAAAAAAAAAGTAATTTTTTTTCTTTTTTTTAACCTTTTTTATTTACGTTGTATTTTAAAATTTTAAATGTTTTATTGAATATATATATATATATATATATATATATATATATATATATATATATATATATATATATATATATATATATATATATATATATATATATATATATACATATATATATATATATATATATATATATATATATATATATATATATATATAAATATATATACATATATATATATATATATATATATATATATATATATATATATATATATATATATATATATATATATATATATATATATATATGTATATATATATATATATATATATATATATATATATATATATATATATATATATATATATATATATATATATATATATATATATATATTTTAACGGAAAAGCTTTAAAATGAATTTAAAAACGGATAAATACAAAAATCTTTTCGAAAACTGTTACGAAATTTTTGGGTGTTTTTATTGACGAAAATCTAAATTGGAACAAACATATCGCTTATATAGGTAGTAAAATATCCAAAAGCATAGGAATAATATACCAGTCACGTTGTTTATTAATAAAACCACTACTCAAACAAATCTACTATAGTTTTGTTCAAAGTTACCTAAACTACGGAAATATAGCTTGGGGTAGTACCTATAAAACAATACTAGAACCACTTTATCGTAAACAGAAGCATGCTATACGTGTGATTAATTTTAAAAATAAAACAGAACACTTAACACCTCTTTTTGAACAAATGTCTTTATTAACATTGTTTGAACTAAATGTATATAATGTTCTAAGTCTTATGTATAATAGCAAAATGCAAAAAAGTCCTTCAATTTTCTATAGTCTTTATAAACAAAAACCAGAGTACAAATATTTATTGCGTACAAATAGTACCCTGTTAGAGCCTTCATGCAAAAATAAACTTGAACAATTCAAAATGACTTATCGTGCACCTCATATCTGGAATAAGTTTTTACTAATTAATTTAAATAATATTGATTTAAAAAACTTAAATTGCTTTAAAAAAACTATTAAAAAGAGTATTTTAAAGTATAAAAATTTAGTTAGTGATTTTTTTTAAATTTATTTATAAGTATTTTCTTTTTTATTTAATATAAATATATTTTCAACATTGCGATTTTACAAAACGATTTTTGTAAAAATATATTTGTATACTTGTTATCTGACATTTTAATACCATTATAATTTAATGATTTTATGTAAAAATTTTATGAATATGTTTTTATATTTACGGCAGTTTAAAGCGGTTTTTGATGATAAGACCATTTGGTCTTCTGCAAGTTTTTCGCGTTCTTTTTACAGTGTTAAAGTAAATATATTATTTTTGTAAAACCTTTTTGTAATATTTTGTTTTTATTTATATATTCACTGTTAACGAATCTTTATTATGTGGTTACGAATTTGTTATATTAAGGAACAAAAAATAAACTTAAAATAAAAAAAATAAAAAATAAAAAATAAAATTTGCCCCTCGGTCTTTATTTTTATCTGTTTTATTAGTGATTGTTGTATTTACTTTCATAAATTCTAAATATAATATGAAATTAGTTGTTTAGTTTCTTAATAATATAATTAACTTTATTTTTTCACGATAAAGTTGTATCCTTGAAAGATATGCTGGTATTATTGGCACAATCGGCAAGCATTGAAGTGCAATTTGGTGAACTACAAAATACATCAAATTCAGTTATAAAAATTTGAGTAACAAAGGTAAGCTAATTATTCTATTGCCTGAAAGAGAGTCATTGCCATTTAAAGCAGTGAAGAATTCAAGTACTCTGGAAGAAAAAAGACAAGAAAACATTTAAGTAAATGGTAAGTATTTTTTTATGATCTGTTTATGCATTTTGTATGATATCTTTAGTAGAATTTATATAGTTTAAATAAAATTCTCTTTGAAGAGTTTTTGTAAATGAAATTTTATATTAACTTAAGTCTAAGCAAAAGTTACTTTAATTATTGTCAGGTTGTGTATTTTTGCAGGTTAATTATTTGGCACAAGTTGGAGTTAAAGACGAAGGAGACTGTATATGTTGTTTATCAAGAACAGTTTTTTAAAATAGCCTAGCTGTAAAATTAAACTATGCAGGGAGAGGATAAAAAATTGGAATAGGAAAAATGTTGATTGCATATGTTGCTATTGGTAAGTGGTTAAGAAAAGTTTATTTTTTCAGTTTCAATTTTGCATTACAGAATTACTTTCAATTTGTTATGTTTTTTTGGTGCATAATTAAACAAAAAACTATTTTTTTGCAGAAACTTTGAAGTCAAATAAGCTTGGTTTATGCAGACATGTGATAGAGATAGCGGAAGAAAAAATTATAATCGTGGGCACCAAATATCATAAGCTAAACACATTTGAATAACAACTACCTCAGCCAATATCAAAACTACTCTATAAATTTTATAGTGAATTTTTTTTATTTAAAACTGACAATGTGTCAGTTTTTGGTTTAAGTTTGGTGTTTGCAATATGTATATTTAACCGAGAAATTATGTTAAATAAATAAATTTTTATACTTGTATCATACATTTTTTTTTCTCTATAATTTTTCAATGTAGCGATGCAAATCATCTTATTTGTAACAACGATCTAATGTTGCATAAAACGTTAAGCGATATAAAAATAATAATCTTTTAACATACGATATTGGGTCAATGTTGTATACAACGTTAGGCCAATTTTGTATAGAACGTTGGGTCAATGTTGTATACAATATTGGCCTAACTAAATATATAACATATGCCTTAAAGGTGCAAATTTCTGTGCTTTTAAAGCAATTTTTAAATGAATTGTTATACTAAAAAATAATTAAATAATTAACTACAACACTACTTCACTACAACACAACGTCACTACAACACCACGTCACTACAACACTACGTCACTACAACACCACGTCACTATAACACTACATCACTACAACACCACGTCACTACAATGCTATAACAATATTTTTAATAGAGCAAGAATAATAACGTAAAAACTTTTTTCTTGTTTTGACTTTTGACACAATTCTTTTGTATGCTATTTATAAAAAAAAGAGTATTGTAATAAAGTATTTAAGTAATAAAGTGCAACGGCATTCCTTTGTTTTGCGACACAATGCTGTTTTTATATATATATATAACAATATTCAGCCCGAACCAGAGGTGGAGTTTGAGAAAAAAGGTAAAAACTGTTTGTATAAGCCTTATGAAATAATAAGAATTAATAATTAATAATAACAATATTAAATGAAATAACGAAAATATAATTATATATTAAAAATAAAATATATAATATATTATATATAAATTGATAAGTTCATTAGTATAATAAAATATATAGTATATTATATATAAATTCATAAGTTCACAATAAAAATTTTCAATTCAGAAGTTGTGATCATCTTTTAAAAATGTTTTAGTTTCATTTTTTAAAACTAAAATAAAAATCGCTTGAATCATAAATCTCCAATTCAATAGAATCTGTTCCAATTCAATAGAATTCAATAAAACCTGTTCCGTTCTTAATTTAGATTTTTGTAACAACTTCTGTTTTAAAATCATTGAAGCAGAAGTTAATAATAATTTATCACCATAGCAAAGTTGTTTATTTTTCTCACATTACAGATTTCTTTAAATGAAGTTTCTTTTAATAACGATAATATTTCAAAAAATAAAAAAAACACTGATGTTTAAGGTACACAGATAAAATATTTTTTCAGCTTGTTCTTGGGTTCATATAAAAATAATATTCATTTTGTTAGTTATTTAAATTAAAATAATTTAATTAAAAGTTATTATAACCTGAATAATTTAAATTGTATTCAACTTTTTTGTTTGCTTTACATCTTTCATTAACATTTAGCAATTCTACCTAAACAAAAATTGAATTAAACATACATTTACTAATAACGGGATTATATTCTTCTCTTTTTTTAAAAGCAATTTAAATTGAATTTTACGAAATGCAAGGTATTATTTTTTTATAAATAGTACATCGAAAAACTTTTATTTTTAAAAGTTAAAACAACAAAAAACAAATCTTTTTAAAAATATGATTGGTGATTACGGTTTATGTAGCTTATACACTACGGTTTAATCCCCACATATGAAGAAAAGGAAAGATAGTAACAAAAATATAAACTTTGCTGTAATAAATGTTCTGTATGTGTAAAAATTGCAACCAAATCTAAAGCCTCAGTCATTGTAAGAGTATATTAATGGTTTAATAGATCAATTATTGCACATTAAATCGAGTTCCAAATCTTTTAACATGACAACATTTAGCGGCTGCAGAATGTGTGACATGAGCTGATAAACAAGATAGCATTTTGATGCAAATAAGTATGACTTAAACAACATGTGTTAAATGCACTAAAATATGAATGTACAGGAGTACAACGAGACACTGCATAAATTGCATATTAAAACAAATCCAAATCAGCATAAAAAAATCCGAAATGATATTACAAAAAGTTTAAAACACATTGGTTTAATTCCATATCTATTCAGCAGGTTCATGTTTTAGATTTTGCAAATATTTTATATGTTATAGGGTTTATAAAAATTAATAAAATCTGAAATTTGGAACCTCCAACTACTTACGGTTCTCGAGATATTCAGGATTAAATTATCTTATTTATGTTGACTCAGCATTTTTTACAACTTTACTTTTTTGTTGTTAACTAGCAATATTTTATGAACAAATGAGGTATCATCCTAACATTTTGTACATAGACAATCTTCCACATGGCGAATACAAACTTCATTTTGAAAACTTTTGGACCACCATAATTATATGTAAGTTAGAAAATAAAGGCATATATTTTGGGGTATTGCAACGGTCAAAATGGCGATGTCACCTAAATCATTTGTTTTTGGAGACAATGTTATAACTTACAATATAGGTATCAAACATGGCTATTAATAAAAAATAAATTACTGCATTTTTCAACTTTTCTAAATGCAGCTATTTAAGTAAAGCTTATAATAAATGTTAAGTTAGCATAAATATTATAGCAAACTTTTGACAAAGTCAGCTATATCTTAATTTTATGTTGTAAAAAGATATTGTTAAAGTCTTTGTGAAGCTAATAATAAATTTATAGTTTATTTATATATTTTTTTGTGTCTAGGGTAGGCTAAAAGTATGGGGAGCAAAAGAGGGGGGAAAGTAATAGGGCTTTTCCTATCGTACCCTGTCCCCCCCCAAAAAAAAAAAAGTATTTTATTTTCTAAATTAAATATTTTTCCATAACTCAAAACTTTGTTTTGTTAAAAATATATCTTTTAAGTTTTTTGGAGGCCTTATGGAGCAATAACTAGAAATATTTATTTATTTATTGAAGATATTTTATTTGTAAAAGATCAACATTTTTTTAAGTATAGAAACTTCTCTAGGCTGTAATTTAAATGCATTTATAAAAGAGATTTTTTAAAAGGCTCTATTTATAAGTTTATACTTTTTTTTTTCTTTTATAAATAAAACTTTTTATTTTCTCATTTCCTATTATATTGTTGCTTTTAATTTCATGTTGTAAGTATTAACTTCCTGTTACTTTGCAGAACTTTTTAATATACTTAACTAATTATCATTTTTTAATTACTGATTACTAAATGACCTTTTTAATTACTGATGACTACATGACCTACAAATAAAATAAAAATTAATTACTCCTTAATCATGTATAAGAGGAAGTCAAATATTATGGCGCATCCAATAATATGTATATTATAAGAAAATGTATAAATAGTTTACCATAAACTAAATAATGTTAATGGTATTTCTAAAAAAACATTTATTTTGTAAAATATTTCAAAACAAGATTTTTGAAATAAAATTAAAAGTTGGGAAATACGGAAAAATGTTTTATTGGATTAGAATGTAATGTTGACTGCGACAAGCAAGATTTAACACAAAGACAAGGTCTTTTAGATCTATCAACAATTTCAATTGATGAAAACCACGAGTTACTATGGAGAGCTGGTTTATTTGATTGTGGAAAATTGTTTACAACAGTTTGCTTTTCCCATAGAAAACACTTTGGAGTTGCATTTGAAAGAAAATTTTAGAAATGCTGTAACCTATTGTAAAAACATGGAAATCGAAAGAAAAACATAAAAGGTATTTTTGATATGTTTTTGATGAATATAATGGTTTATATAGTAACTAAATAAACTAAAGATATAATAATACAAATAAATGCTTTTTTAAGAAGAAAATTTAAGTATTTTTATAAACTTAAAATTTAATTGTTTTATAAGTTAACAAACATGCTAATATGTTCTTTACTATGATGTTGATTTTTTGTTTTTAGAAACAATTGTTTGTTTGTTTTTATATAAGGAAATGTGAAGATATTGCTATCATTAGGAAAAACTCTTAAAACACAAGATGTTCTTGTTGTACCTGGGTGGAAATTGTGCAGTAAATGTTACAAGAGGGTAGAGAGTATAAATAGAAAAATTAGAATCAAATTTTAAAACCTATAGCAGGGCTGAGTCAGAACAATAATAACGTTTAGCTGTTAATGAAAGTATTAAATCAATAGGTGTATCACTTATTAAGCTTAAGGCAGTGCCAAAACACCAACGGTTACCAGCTGCCAAATTAAAATTTGATCAAATAACTGAACCAACAATAAACAAAATAAATAAAGTTATAATATTGATCCTATGATTAGATTGACACCATCTTGTACATCAATAACTTCTTCAGTTAATAACCATAAAATTGACAATCTAGACTTACTTTTGAAATAAATTAAAAGATAAACTAAAAAATGTGGCATCATACTCTACAAAAATACCAATATTAACATCAACTCCAGAATCAAGGTCATTCCAAAAATTTTCAGAATTTTTTAATGTATCTTTTTAACTTATACAAAAGGCTAGAAAAGCTAAAAAAAAAAACATAGAGTTTTGTATAAACCATCATTAAAAAAGGAAATTCACTTTCTCATGAAACCATTGATCAAATTCATAGCTTTTATTAAAGTGAAGAAGATTACACGAATGATACCTAAAAAAAAAAGATTTTCTCAGTATAGGGTACAGGCAACATTTGAAAAAAAGACTAATACTGATTAACTTAAAAAAACTTCATGCAGCATTTAAATCTGAACACTTAAACTTAACTTATCCAACTTAAATGTTGGATTTTCAAAGTTTTGCAGCCTTCGACCAAGATGGTGTGTAACCACAAACTCGTCTAGTACTCACAGTGTTTGTGTTGTGATCTATCATCAGAAATTATGTTGTTAACTGATGCTCTTAAAATTGATAAAGATTATAAAGATTTAACGGGTTCATCTTTAGAGCATGTTACATCGATGTCTACTATGTTCTGGTATTACTGCTTTAGAATAGTTCTTAACAAAAAAATTTAGCAACGGTGATAAACAATTAATAAATAACAAACAGTGATAAACAATTATGAAATAACAATTAAGCAATGGCAAGGTACAGATATTGCTACACTGATCAATCAAAATATCAATACTAAAAATGTTGTTGATCTTAATGCAATAAATCAGATAAACTCATTCATTTATAGCTAAAAGTCATGCCAAATTAGCATAAATAAGAAAATTCAATCATGAATATCTCGTAAAGGGTTGGAGGTTGCAAATTTCAGATTTTCATGGTATTTTAAAATAAAACTCTTGGAATAAGGAAAAATGAGGTCGGCAATAATTTGCCAACCTCAAACTGTTAGAGGTCGGCAAAAGGTCGGCAGAAAAAAAATTTGACACAAAGAGGTTACTATAAAATATAGAAACAAGGTCGGCAATCTCAAACACTTTCAGATTGGCAGTTAGGTCGGCATTGCCGAATGCCGACCTTAATTTCAAGGGTTGTAAACCCTATAACATTTTAAAAAATTAGCAAAAACCAAAACCCTGATCGTTTGTTTTTGCAAGTTGTTAAACATTTATTACAAGATATATCATTGAACAAAAATAAGTTTGTACTTGTAAAGTTTCTAATTTATACATATTTTTAAATTTATATATTTATTTATATTTGTGTGTTATTTATTATTTGTTTATATGTATTAGGATTATATGGGTTTATATTTTGTAAGTGTGTAAATATCTTTTATATATAAGTGTTACTATATTTGTGATCTAATGTTGTTTGTTTGTAGTAAGTATATGGTTACTATGTTGTTTGCATGGTTTCTAATTGTTGTGACTTGGCTTAGTTTACAGCAAGAGTGTTGACCTTTCTAGCCAAGTGATGTACTACGCTATAATGAACTTAACTTTGTTGGGAGCAAGATTGTTGTCCATGCCAGAAAAGTGGTGTCATGATGTTAAGTGGTGTCAAGTTACTGTCATGATGAAATACATAAATTAAATTTTTTTGTAATTAGTGTAGTCATAAAACGTGTGAAAAAATATTGTTGAACGAATGTGAATGTATAAGAAACGTTGAAAAAATGCATATATTTTTTTAATATAAATAATTATTTTTATATTTATAATTTTAAGTAAATTTTTTTGAACAGATCTTTACTTCATTAAGTTTTTTATATACTGTTACTTTTTAAGTAAACTTGCTTGAAAGATATATACTCATTTAAGAATGAGTATATATCTTATATACTCATTCTTAAATGAGTATATCTCTTAAATGTTATGCAACATTTAAGAGTCTTTATTTCATTTATTAAATATGTTTAACTTTAATTTAATGTTTTTTTTTATAAAGGTATGAGTACAAAGTGTTACATAAGTTTTAATAACTTTTATTAAATTTTTGGGATTTTTCGTATAGAGAATGTTTTTTCCATATTAATATATATTAATATAGAATACTAAATATATAAAAAAATTAAAACAGTTTAAGAAGTTTCAATATTTTTAA